AGGGGGGGGGGAAAGCCGGGCCCCGGGCCCCGTTCTGGACCGCCGGGCCCCCAGTAATTTGTACCGGATTCCCCCCCTCTCGTTGGCCCTGCTAGTGGCCATGAACTGCACCTGCAAGCTGTTTCTGCAGTCCAGTTGAATGTATTCAATGTGGTCTGCTGGAATGTATAAGGGATGGCCTGCATGCATGAAGGTAACATGAAATGAGTGATATTTGGCAAGTCTACCAGTGGCTAGGAGAGTTAAGATTGTAAATTGGTTTCCAGTACTGTTATGCCAGGAGCCACCAGATGACACTATTATATAGTTTTACAAGTTCTTTTTCTTAAAGTGCAAGTAGTGTACAGTCTTTGAAAAAAATGTTGTATAGGGGACATAATTAAGGTTGAGAAGCACTTTCTGTTTAAAGGACAACTCCTGTAAGTGCTTTAAAATCCATACTGTTCAAATTGCCTTGAAATTTGGATTGCTGCATGGGGTATGGTTTGTGAAAAAAACAGACACCTGACTGACATAGCTATGCCAACCTAACTTTTATGTGTAGACCAAGCCTCAGTGTTTGAGCATAGTGCAAGTACAGGTACCGCCTGTCCATTACAGTGAAAAGGCAGAGTATGAGTATGTGCGTTATGGGGCATCGTTCAAAGAGGGGTAGAGTTAAGGCATGGGCCTTACCTTAACTGTGCCTTTCCTAGTTTTCAGGAGTTTGAATTTTGCTGAACTCAACATTCTGAAAGGGTACAAGCTATCATCAGGCACTCTTAACTCTGTGTTAATGAAGTTTTTGCCATTTAATTAATTTTGTGATGCAGATTCATTTGGGAAAACCTATTGCATAACAGCAGAAGCACCCGTACACTTTTTTTAAAATTTTCTCTAAAGTAAAAGATTTAGCAGATATTTCCATTCTTATCCTCTGTTATACACAATTCCTTAACTATGGCTTTGGTTACCACTCCACTATAATGTTGTAAGTAGTAGTTGACACTCATGAAGATTCAGTATTGTTCTTGGGTTTGGTAGAACTAATAACATTTCTTGTTATTGTTCATGGCAAATCATTTCTTGTTTGCAGAACATAGTGCGAGAAGTAAAAGTATTTTTACTGCTTTATTTCTTCTTTGTAGCTGACCAGAGGCATTGAGGGCTATATTCACAAAGGTATTTAGGCATTATAACTAAAATATAGAAAATATAAAGTAAAAATGCAGTTGCAGAAAAATCCAAAGGTGTTACAGAAAAGTATGGTAACAACGTACAAAGGTTATTTAGAGACTGAAAAATCTCAGAGACGGGCCAGAGACATATTACACTTGCCTCAAATGAACAGTGACATTCAGGAAGCTATTAAGGCTTGTTACATATGCCAAACATACAGGCCAAATTGAGCAAAACAGCCCATGTTGGTGGCAGAGAAAAAATTAGCCCCTGTAGCAAAGTAGGCATAGATTGGTTTATATTGACTGATTATGTATTTGTCCTAAACTATTATTCTCACTTCCCTAAAATAGCCTTATCAGAAGATACTACAGCTAATCTATTTTTGCTACACATAGCATACCTGACATAGCAATGTGTGACAATAGGCCACAATTTAGTGGGCATGAATTAAAGCATTTTACAATGAAGTACAGGTTTAGGCATGTAATTGTTAGTCTCCATTATCCCCAATCTAAGCAGCTGATGGAAAACTGTGTGAAAATAATGAAGTATCTACTAAAATAGGTTGCAGAGTTAGACTCTGATCTGTATTTAGCACAGCGGAATTACAGAATGGGTTACCAATACATCATCGGTGCACCTGCTGACATTTTCTTCAACAGACTACTGAAAATAAGAATACCAGCACTGTTAGAAACTGATGTCACAGTCACTGGGGACTTGCAGATGTATAAAGGGACAGACAAGGCAATAAAATAAAATAATAATATGATTTGGTATCCTGCACGCTGCCATTACTTCATGAAAACAATGCTGTGTGTATCTATGATGGGAAACAAACAGCAGTAGTATTAGAAAAGATAGCCCTGTGGTCATTAGAGGTTACCATTCCCAGATTGACACATGCAAAGGAGGAACAGGTGACAAATCCCAGAATGGAGGGAGCTGTGGGGCACCGACTCAGCTGTTTTGCTGGAGACAGTCTCAGACAAGCAACAATTGCATCACATTGAGATAACTGAGTCCCAGGACATGGAATAACCAGAACAAGTAGATTTGCCACCTCCTGACAGCAGTAGTGCTGATGCTCCTGAGGAGCCCCACAGATCCAAATGATAGTGCAAGGCACCTCAAAAACAAATTGATTATTTTTAATAAGCTTAGCTATTAGGTTGATAATAAGTATTTGTGTGTGTTATATTAAATTTTTATATTAAATTTTGTGTTGGAAGGGAAGACTGTGGCTTTAAGGGCTGAGCTTTCCAGACAGGGAGTCTGGGCAAGGTGCTATGAAGCTCTTGTTGCTATACACAGCCAGCTGGAATCTGACTCAGAATAAAAAAATGTTCTTGCATGCACCTTAAGTGCTGTATGATAATAACTGAACACCATAGGACATGAGTTATTTCCTGAGATTCTCAGCTTTACTTATTTTTTTAAAAAAAGTTTCTAGCCCCTTATGATTGTAGAGAAAAGTTTGACCATGCGAATCCGAAGCATGCCAACATTAGAAGGCAACTAAAGAAATGCCAACATTTCATTTTTAAATCTCATTTTAAGGCAATATCATGATTTTTTTTGAGGGCTTGAGTCATGATTTTTGAATGCTGGGGTTTGCTATAGTGCATGCAAGCTACCCCTCATGCATTTCTGCAGACCTTAACGTCAGGTGATCAGCAGGACTGCGGAAATGATGTGCAATTGTAGTTCATAACCACCAGAGGCCGCTGTGTTTCCTGCAGACCAGGCAGTCCACTAGTCTCCAGATCACGTATTTTTGGTTTGAAACAACTTTTTGTTTAGAAATTTAAGCTAATTATAGTAAAAAAATTAAAAATGATATAAAGTCAAAATCCAAACAAAATATTTAAATCAACTTGAATCAAAAAAGTTTTTGGATTGTTAGTTTGTGGAATTTTTTGAGATTTTAACTTTAGTCTCAGTTCCGACTAGTACAATTTTTCAAAATCTCAAACATTTTTCTCAGCTCAAAGCAGGACCAATCCCAACTAAATCATCCCAGCCAGGGCTTTGTCAATCCAGGCCTTAAAAACCTCTCAGGAAGGCGATTCCACCACCTCCCTAGGTAACCCATTCCAGTGCTTCACCACCCTCCTAATGAAAAAGTTTTTTCCTAATATCCAACCTAAACCTCCCCCACTGCAACTTGAGATCATTGCGCCTTGTTCTGTCATCTGCTACCACTGAGAACAGTCTAGATCCAGCCTCTTTGGAACCCCCTTCAGGCAGTTGAAGGCTGCTATCAAATCCCCCCTCATTCTTCTCTTCTGCAGACTAGATGTAAGCAGAGTCAGGATGAGCTCTACCCTGACATCTGGTGGTGAATTATGGCGAGTGTGGAAAAGACTCCAGGGGCTGATCTTGTTTGCATAGGCACACCCATCGCCTGGCATGAAACAACAGCAACTCAAAGTGGTTACTTTGGCTGGTGTGGGATCCCCAGTTTCTTTGTTATTG